AAAATTGAGGTTCTGTTTGTTTTACAAAAAATGCGACATTTCTAGAAAATATTTTCCATAAAGTCATTATCCAAGAAAATAAAAAAATTTCTGATGCTTGGCTGAAACTTGAAAATAAACTAGAAAATATTTTTCGATATTTGGTATATAAAATCTGATTTGATTTTTGTCACGCCCCGAACCCTACGAGCGCGCGATCATCCCTTCGTGGTCGTAATGTACGCGACATACCAGGACTTGTCGCCGACCCAATCGAAACACTAACGAGTAACGCATGCGGAAGCAATCTCGAACTCTCCGTACAACATATAAACAACGGGATAGTAGAGAGACAAAGAATACACATCAACAAGACACTTTTATAAACATAACATCGATTACAACACATACATTTGCAAGCCTTCTACGAGGCCACTATCTACGAACCACGCACAATAACATGGATCGGGTGGTTGGTAAGCTTAACTCCTCTACAAAAAGGTGCACTCAAAAGACGGGGTAACTCGACCTATCCTCAATCCCCGTAGTATCCTGGCAGCGTCTCCGGATCAATCACGGTCGCGGGTCTGAAATGGTTTGGTTATATAATAATGAGAACACTTCTCAATAAGCAACTACCTAAGCCTCGCTTAGGCCAAAGCGTACCTCCGAACAATTCTAAACATGCAGTACCGACATCCAACATGTCATAACAATCACAGGCGCCCTTACCTCGCCTCGGCACATACGTGAGCCCTGCACGTTAGAATACCGCCATAACATGGCAATTCGCTCCTCGAGCACATAATACAACCACATGACATAAACGTACATAAAACGGTTATTAATCCAGACATGATCAACAGCAGCACAAGCACATTGCATTCCCCAATGCATAACACACGATTATAAATGTCCAGATTATTAACGGCCCCTCGGGCCACCGAACCCCCGCCGGTCTTCTGGCGTAACCAGGCATCGTCCCGCTACTTTGGCGACGGCAACGTCTGGAACCCCCCCCCCCCCCCCCCCCCCAGACGGCATTCCACAAAGGAGCATCGATCCGGCCTCCACCGCGATCGGCAACGTCTAGAACCCCCGCCTAGACGGTATCCGAACTCCCGCCGGGCATCGTCTATAACTCCCGCCTAGACGGAACGTGTCGTGACCATGCACACACCTCAACAATCATTACCAATTCTTATCTTTGTAAATTAGCCCAATGTCAACTAAATCCGTCAAACGCCACGATAACATCGAATAGTCCCCAAGAGAGAGAAAACCGGAATTGCACACATTCGGGCTATTCTGGGCAGTTTGCGCAACAACCGAAATCTCTTTGAAATAAATAGTAATTCCACTCCAAAAATTCTGAAATTTGGATATGTTGTACAAAACATCTTGATAAACATTTTCCATGAAGAACTCGAAACCCAGTTCCAACCGTAAACACCTCTTTTTGTCACTTGAAATCAGACGAAAGTCAACCCGTCCGGTCAGGCCGCCTGACCATCAAAATGCATCTCATCCAGTATCCAAATCACTTTGGAAAGCCTTGAAATTTTTATATCTCATAGACACGAATGTTCTTAACAATTTTTGTGAAGGAAGTTTCTTGAAAAAAAGGTCTGGAAAAATTTATATAAAATCGGAAAGACCAGAAGGTCGGGTGAACAGTAAATCCGGCAGACTGAATACGGTCCAAAAATGGACTTACGAATGACCCTAAATGATCTCCAAAAATTCCAGATTTAATATATGTCATACTTCAAGATGTTATGAACAACTTTCATGAAGAACACTTTCACAAATTTGGCCCACAACAGTCACAGAGAAAATAGCAAAGACCAGCGACGCAGCAGCAACCTTATCAGAAATCAACCAACAAGCACCACCAAGCAAACCAAGCACACCCAGCCACTAAATCAACTATTCACAGCCCTTAAACCATCCCTAACATGTCCATTAGTCACCCCTTAGCCTAGTCGAGGGTTAGGAAGCCACTTACACTTAGCCTAAGCAAGAAAACCGAGCGAAAGGAGCAGCTGAGTCACGGCAAAGCAGCAGCAGCGACGCCGGAGCAAGCAGAGCAACCTCGGCGGACAGGCGGCAGCTCACGCGCGCAGTCGGGTGGAGATGGGGGCTGAACGGTGGTGCTGGTCGGGCTGGAATGGAGGGCGAGAAGCAGCAGAAACCAGAGGAAGGAGAATGAAGAAGCAAGTAGCAGCAGCAGAAAATGAAGTAGAAGCAGCAGGCGTGGGGGTGGTCAGCAAAGAAACAATGTAGGGGAAGTTAGCAGCAAGATAGTAGTGACAGAAACAACGTGGGGCAGCATGGGCAGCTTGAGGAGTCAGTGGATGCAGCGGTAAGAAGCGAAGCAAGCCGGAAATGGCATGGGTGGAGCAGAAGCAACACGGCAGCGAAGCAGGGGAAGTCCATCATGGCAACATGTGCATGGGAGGTCAACAACGTGGGGAGTCAGCTGAAGTATGGGGGAGTGATGATGGCTGGTGGAGTTGGTGGAAGAAGTCAGCGAAAGCAGCAAAGGCAGAAGCAGAAGCAGAAGCATGGGTGGAGCAGCGTGAGATGAGGAGTCAACAACGTGGAGGAGGGCAGCGGGGAAAGAGGAGGAAGTCAGCGGCGTGGGGCAGCGGTGACGTGGGGGAGGAGAGGGAGAAGAGAAGAGAGAGAAAGTCAAACACACTTGAGTGCGATCCGACGACCATCGTTCAAATCCGAAAATGATCCAACGGCCCACGAAAAACCCTAATTATAAATTAGGAAAAAGGCCAAAAGATAATAACTAAAACACACTATGAGGAAGGTCTACTAGTCAAAATCCGCACCCAGTCCAAATTTCACTTTTCACTTATCCCAAGCAATATTGACGCTGGCCACAATAATATCGACACCGTCCAATTAAATTCGTCACGAAACTCCGAGAAATTCGACACCAAAATTCGGGCTCTAAATAACGACCAAATTCGATCGAGTGCGATTCTAGCGAAATCTCAATTTTAAAAACAATAACCGAGAGTGATCAGTTCTCGGACGAGATTTTACTATAAGCACACTGACGAATTATACGTTTTATAAATCCCAAAATTGGGCCAAAATTCGGAATGTCACAATTTTACTTTGTGCATTCATTTTAATAATATTAATATTTTTTATTTTTCAAATTGAATTTTTAATTATCTTTTCTATTTCCTTTATTTTTGGCCGATCGCTGGCCGCCGTGGCCGGCGACCGACCACAGGCGAGGCCGAGGCCTCGGGCGAGCTCGACCTCGCCGGCCTCGGGCGAGCTCGACCTCGCCCGAGGTCGACGAGCTCGAGTCTCGCTGGCCTCGAGTGAGGCTCCACCTCGCTAGATCCGGCGAGCTCGAGCTCGCTTGAGGCCGGCGATCTCGAGTCTTGCCAGATCGGCGAGGCTGGAGCCTTGCCACAAGTCGGCGAGGCCGAGGCCTCGCCGGGATCGGGCGAGCCTCGAGGTCGCCGGAATCGGGCGAGCTCAAGGCTCGCCAGATCGGCGAGGCTCGAGCCTCGCCCGAGGCCGGCGAGCTCGAGCTTCGCCGGCCTCCGGCGAGGTCGTCCCGCCCCGGTGGCCGGTCGCCGTGGCCGACCACCGGCCGAAATAAAAAAAAAAAAAAAAGAAAGAAAAGAAAAGAAAAAAGAAAAAATAAAAGAAAAAGAGAAAAAATAAAAATAATTAAATTTCGATTTTTTTTAAACATTTTTGTAAAGAGGGATAGAGTGTGTGGATGGGTCTAGTGGGTGGGTTGGACATGGGTTCCAAACTCAACCCATTTAGACCCATTTATCTTTAAGCTTTAAAATTTAAAACCCATTTAAAGTTGACTCTTTAAAATTAAAGTGACCCATATATGACCCATTTATTTTTAAATGGGTCATATATGGGTTTAAGACCCATTTTGACACCTCTAGGCATGATACAATATTCTACTACAAAGATCCCCATTGTCTTCTCTATTATTTTGAACATTTCCACATCCCACCGGCACCGCCACGTTCAGAAAAAGACCACCCACAATCATTCACTTTTCACTAACTAGTTAAACACAAATTATTAAAAAAGAAGAAGTTAATACCACAAAAAATCACAAACTGATATATCTGTGACAAATTTACTCCAAATTAATTTTTTGACCATAAAAAATCCCAAACTGGTACACTTGTGACAAATTTATCCCAAACTAATTTTTTGACTACCAAAAATCCTAAACCGGTACATTTGTGATAATTTACCCTCCGTTAAATTGGATTAATACCATAAAAAGCTACAAACTGGTACACATATGACAAACGGAGGATAAAATCCCAAATTGATACACCCGTCAGCTATCAAGTGTCATCCAACTCAGAAATTTGACGATAAAATTTAACGGAAACTAACGGAGGATAAAATTGTCATAGATGTATTAGTTTATGGTTAGTTTGGGGTAAACTTGTCATAATTATATAAATTTAGAGTTTTTCGTGGTATTAATTAAGAAAAAAAAACTTTAAAATCTGATCTCTCTTCAATGAGCACCATGCCAAAAGATGCTTGACGGCCAGAAGAGAACAACAAGCGGCACTTGATTAAAGAAAGACTGTTGCGTTCGGCAAAATCTTTGACCATCAAACCTCCGATAGTGGTGCACATTGTGCCACCACAGAAAAACAAAAGACTAAGGAGATCCAATACATCATTTTCCATATAGGAAAAAAAAAAGCAAAGATTAAAGAGATGGGAGCCATTTCCCAGAAACCAACCAATCAATGAATCGATTAGAAGACCGACCTCAAATCAGGATCGGATGAAATTATGGTCATAAAAATTTATCTGTTATTGACCGGTGGCATCTGCTTGTTTTCCACGGCGCAGAAGCCCGAGCCGAGCTTGTTGAGCCTAGCGGGCCCCATCGCCTCCTTCTCCCTAATTCCCTCGTCCCTCCCATTCGCTTTGCCCGCAAAGCTGAAAGTTACTATAATTTTCTTTGTTGACCCGCGAAAAAGAAAGTCATGCCTGTGGCTATCCAGAAGATACCGAGAAGCTCCAATGTCGAACAAAATCTCATTGGTCGCGAATGCCATTTCCTGGAAGCCACAGCCAAGTATTTTATCGGGGAGCCAATGGAGTAGCTTACCTTTTAAGATCTCGGTTCATCCTTAAGCACCTTCATTTTCCAAAATTCCAAGCAAACACACCAGCATCTGCCTTGTTTCACCAAATTCTAATGGCAGCTGCTGCTGCTTCTTCTTCAAAACCTAAGAGGAATTACGATGTCTTCTTGAGTTTCAGAGGTACCGACGTTCGCAACAACTTCGTCAGTCATCTTTACACGGCTCTAGACCAGCATGGTTTATTCACTTATATCGATAACGAGGAACTGAAGAAAGGACAGAAAATATCGCCGGCACTTATGAAGGCAATCGAGGAATCGCATGTTGCAATCATCGTTTTCTCCAAGAACTATGCTTCCTCGCCGTGGTGTTTGGAAGAGATGGCGAAAATCATGGAGTGCAAGGCACATAACGACCTGATTGTGTTGCCAGTGTTTTACAAAGTGGAGCCAAGAGAAGTGAGAGGGGGGAGAGAGAGTTATGGGAGAGCTATGGCGAAGCACGAGTCCAACTTTGGAAAGGATTCGGAAAAAGTAAAGAGATGGAAGGAGGCTCTCTTTGACGCCGGTAGCTTGTTTGGGTGGGGCTTGAATGATGGGTAAGTAGTAATTGATGTGACACATTGCCTTGTCTTTGTTTTTATATGCTGAATCACATGATGTTTCTTTTTTTTTTCCTCGATGAAACTTAATTATATCTTTGTACCGCTGAATCAATGTGTCAATTACTTTTTTGGATTTTTCTCAGAGATGAAGCACAGCTTATAAAGAGAATAGTGGAGGAAATCTCTTCACAGCTAGACCGAACACCCTTACATGTTGCTAAGCATCCGGTTGGGATACATCTCCATGTGGTAAAGCTGAAATCAATGTTAAATCTCAAGTCCGATGATGATGTTCTCATGATAGGATTATGGGGACAAGGAGGCATAGGAAAAACAACTTTAGCCAAAGCCCTTTACAATGCTATCTTTAGACAATTTGAGGGTTCATGTTTCTTGGCAAATGTTCAAGAAGCTTCAAGAGATTCCAAGGATTTAGTTTCTGTGCAAAAAAAATTGTTGTCCGATATATTAGTTGGAAAAGGATTAGCAATGACCAGTGTTGATGAAGGCATCAATTTAATGCAACATAGACTTTGCCGCAAAAAAATTCTCCTTGTTCTCGACTATGTCAATGACTTAGAACAGTTAAATGCTTTAGCTGGAGATTGTGAGTGGTTTGGTAAAGGAAGTAGAATCATAATTACTACAAGAGATAGCCATTTGCTAACTTCCCATGGAATAGATGAAGATCACATCTATGAAGTTCAAACTCTAGAGAATTGTGAAGCTCTTGAACTTTTCAATAAGCATGCCTTTGTAAGAAACAACAAAATAGAAATACGGAGGGATCTTGTGGATAGTGCTTTGCGTTATGCTAATGGACTTCCTTTAGCACTTGAAGTATTGGGCTCTTTCTTGCGTGGTAGAAGAGAACATGAGTGGGAAAGTGCGTTGAGTAAGCTTGCCAAAAGTCCTAATGAAAAAATCAATAAGGTTCTTAAGTTAAGTTATGATGGATTAGAGCAAAATGAAAAGGAGATCTTCCTTGATATTGCATGTTTCTTCAAAGGGCGAAATAAAAAGGACATCATGAAAGTTCTTGATGGTTGCGGCTTTGACACAAGTATTGGGGTACAAGTTCTAGTTGAGAAGTCCTTGATATTTGAAGATGGATGGACCCTATGTATGCATGACTTGATTCGGATGATGGGAATGGATATTGTCAAACAAGAATGTCTCGATGATCCTGGAAAACGTAGCAGGTTATGGCTTTATGATGATGTTCATTATGTTTTGTCGAGGGATATGGTAAGATATATGCTGGTTTAGACTTTGATTTTATTCTTTTATTCTCTGGATTCGTATATTAATCGCAATGCAAATTCGACAAATGCAGGGAGCAAATGCGGTAAAAGCCATAGTTTTGGATTTACACGAGCCAAAAGAGATATGCATAGGTCCTGATGCTTTCACAAACATGAAAAGGTTGAGGTTGCTCATCATGATTAATGTGCATGCCTCTCTCCAAGGTCCTATTGGTCTTCCTAATGAACTAAGATGGTTTGAATGGCCTGAATGTCCTTGGGTTCCACAATTTTCCTCTGGTCCAAAGAAGTTAGTTGGACTTGATCTGCAAAGAAGCAACATCCAAGTAGTGAGGGAGCAATTTAAGGTGCGCATTTAAATGAATAGTGTTTACTTCCTTGTCTTTTACATATCCACTTCTATATGCATATGAATATGAATATACATTGATTATTGAAAACTTCGAATGCAACAATTACTAATTCTGATGATGCTCGTTAATTTGCTTAAGAAATATCTGCATCTATTAAATTGTTTATATTAGATTAAAGCATTAAATACAGGATGTCGTTCAACTAATTGAACCGACATAAGTGGATCATTCTCGTTTAGAGGAGTATTAAACACTTTCCTATGTGAATCTTGATGTTGCTTCGAACAAAAAATATTCAAGAGAAAGGTCCAATCTAATTTTGAAGATATTTCTTTTTTTTTTTATCGAAAAAGATATTTCAAGTACTGAAAATCATAAGAACATTGAACTTAAAGCATGGGTAACTATTGAGTACCGAAAATTGGAGAAAAACTTATTGTTGATGTAATTTAGAGATTGAATAATGACTGTGCTTGAACTTTTAAAATACATGAAATGAGGATTTAATCTGTTATGTTTTTGAAATGATAGATTCTGAAAAAGTTATTAAGAATTCTATACTATATTGCAGAAACAATCCGACTAGACTTCTTTTGAAATTGAGTATAGAAAGACTTATTTGCTTGATCATTGAAGTGAGTGCGTGCCGAATGATTTTGACTGAACCTTTCAATTTTTCTCAATTTTAATGGGTAATGGTGTAAGAACCAAAGGACATAAAAGATGCTTTCTGTACACAACTTTGTGCATTTTTCAGAAGTTTGACTCACCGAATTACAATATGCAAACTCAGCTTGAACCAATAACAAATTGCATTGTTTAACATGTTTTTCTATAAAACTCCTTAATAAAATGCCTAAAATTCCATCAATAGTCTCAGCTTGTCCATCGGTGTGAGGATGGCTAGTAGAACTGAACAAAGGTCGAGTCCCCATTTTTCACCATAATGAATGCCAAAAGTAACTAATAAACTTGACATCACTAAAAGAAGGGGGTTGTTTTTGGAATACCATCAAGGCGCAGAATTCACCAATATAAAACTCAATAACATGTAAACCATCAAGGCTCCACGACAACCATTTACAAAATTTTTACCATATAAAAGCCATCCCACAAATCCCTTCCTACTAATAGCAACATTTCCATATATAATGCTCAAGTGCGAGGGAAAGTGTTGATTAGGTTTGTCTCAATTTATAAAGTGTAGTTGACATTCTTCACTTGTCCTATGGAAAAACTCACCACCTTTATCTTTTGAGAGATACGCCTTCAAATACAATTTCTAAAATAACAATTCAAATCTTATTCCTTAAACTCTCTATCATTTAAAATTCTTTTCATCCTTCGGAACGATGTGCCATAATTTTGAGAGTTCATTGAGAATTTGCCATATTGAGAATACCAAAATCATTATGGAATGACAACTCATTGATAAAGGTGTCTCAAGAATAAAGTAGTAAAATTTAATCGAAAGAAGGTGTAAAAAGACTCATCATATATTCAACAGATGTGCCCCTTAGGGGTTTGATAAATCACACATGAGATCCACTAGATCAATGTGTCAAAGTCTATTGATGCATGTACACTATATGATATATATATGTATATGTGTGTGTGTGTACACAAATGCAAGGTATAAATGTGGTGGTTGTGTTTATGCTGATATAGTAAACTTCGAGCTCTTACCCTCCACCAACGTATATGTAGCTAAAAAAACAAAAACTAAGCAAGAGGGCTTAGACTCCATTACTTTTCATTTTTTTGTTATATTTATAACCATCTAGGCGTACAAAATATGCCTTTTAAAAAAAAAACGATCCACCAACCATCACTTCCTAATAAAAGATGACTACAAGAGATTCCCCACCTTCCACTGCCTTTGCGGGATCTACAGGCGGGGGGTTGCGAATGTCTACATAAGATTCCAAATGTTAGCTTAAATTCACGGGATGAATTAGTTGGCACAGGATTGACCGTCGCTTATGTGCTCCCACTAGAGGTTACACACTCTCTCTCTCTAGTGCGTGGTGAAATTATGAGTATTTTTCTTTTTTTCTTCCCTCTCTTTTGACGAATTTACAAGGAGTACTTACTAAACTCATATTTAAAAAAGGAGAGCGAGAGCTCTATTAGGGGTGTGCAACCGGACCGGGTTTACCCGGAAACCGGACCAACCCACCCGAAAAACAGGTCCGGGAACCGGTTCTAACAAGAACCAGTCCGGGTACCAGTTCCATTTTTTGGGAACCGGTTAGAATCGGTCCGGTTTCCGGTTCCAAGTAAAAACCAACCCAAACCTGTTTTAGAACCGGTTTTAGAACCGGTTTTGAGATAATGTACAAAAAAGTAAAAAGCCTATATCACGTTATCCTACTTCACCGGTTTTAGAACCGATTTCCGGTTTAATATTGGAATATGTTTCACAACTATGAGCAAAACAGCACGGCCCTTAAAGTCATCTAAATATTGTGTGATTCAGATGAGATATATAGACATTTTTCTAGTGAGAGCAGATGCCTTACCGCTAAGTCTCTTGATTTTTCTTTCAAGATATTTCATTCGGAAACAGAAGTGAGGAGTTATCTCATCATGGCGCAAAATAAAGAGCTAAACATGTCGAATAAATTCCCTGGAAATGTGACTCTTAAAGATTTATGCGATTGGACTATGTCTTGCCATATAGTGCTTTTGGATTGTTGATTTTGATGGATTGTAATTTCAATTGCTCATTTTGGGGATTGTTACTTTTGGCGGATAGTGGTTTTTGTTATTCATCTTTTATTTTAAATTGTTTCATTGCTACCTATATTATTTTGCTAGAAAAAAATGAAACCGAAAAAAGGAACAAAAAAAAAAAGGTTCTCGGGTAGACCCTGAAACCGGACCGGAAAAACAGGATTGGTTCCAAAACAGGGTCTAGGAAAAATAGGGTTGGTTTCAGGTTCCAAAAATTAAGAACCGATTATAACAGGGTTGGTTTCAGGTTCTAGGTCCGGACCCAACCCACCCTGGAACCGATCACCCCTAAGCTCTATAGACACCATAAGATCAAGGAAATTCTGATCACATGTGGCTTGAATTATGGTCAAGTGATTTTTATTAAAAAATCAGAGCCAGATTTTGAAATGAATATATATATATATCACTTTTTTTCTTTGATCGTCCGGAATGTCTATGCAAGTTGGTTTTATTGTTCTTGCAGGACTTTGAAAAATTGAAGTTCATTAACTTGATGGAATGCCAATCGCTGGTTTCTATGCCGGATCTCTCCTGTATGCCAAATCTCGAGGATTTGGATCTCCAAGGGTGCAAAAACTTGGAGAGTGCCCACGATTCAGTTGCATATCTTCGTAAGTTAAGGTCGTTAGATTTAGGTAATTGCTCTAAATTGCAAAGATTCCCTGATATTCCAGATAAGAACGAAAGCTTGCAAGAAGTTTATCTAGAAGGGATTTCAATTATGGAACTTCCTACATCCATAGAAAATCTTGTCTCTCTCGAGAGGATGTATTTATTTGATTGCAAGAAACTGGCAATCCTTCCGTCTAGCATTTACAGGTTGCAAAAGCTTGAAATCCTGCAACTTGAAGGCTGCTCAAAACTAATCAAGTTTCCAAAGGAGGAGGAGGATTTGGGTGAACCCCATACAAAGACGGGATTTCCTATGTTATCATGGTTGAACCTTGGATCGTGCAATCTATCAGAAGTAGAGTTCCTGGAAAATCTTTCCTGTTTTCCCAGCTTACAAAAATTAGATTTATGGGAAAACAATTTTACTAACCTTCCTACATGCGAGAAACTATATAACTTGGAAAGTTTGGATGTTTCGTATTGCCAACAACTACAAGAGATCCCCAAGATTCCTGGGAAATTGAGAAGACTACATGCAACTAGCTGCGAATCTCTGAGTAGAATTCCCTCCAACATATGCGACGTTGAGATCGTTGAGTTATATTCACATCAGGAACCAGTTCGTAATGGGTTCTCCGTGAATGATTTGTTCAAGCTTGAGGTTACTCTCTCTCTCTCTCTCTCTCTCTCTCTCTCTCTCTCTCTCTCTCTCTCTCTCTCTCTCTCTCTCTCTCTCTCTCTCTCTCTCTCTCTCTCTCTCTCTGAATATGGAGTCATGTACATGTTGGCTGCATCGAGTGTTCGTGTATTGCAAAAGGCTAAAAATCCTGGAATGGTGGGCTAATTAAAGCAAGCAAACATATAGAAAGTGATTATGCATGTATATGTGGTGGAGGTTGCTATAAGGCAACGCAAAGGATACTCTCTTTATTTATAGAACTCTAGTTCGCTGTTGAATTCCAAGGATCGCCCGATGAAAAACTTCAACAATACATGTTCATCCAGTTCCAAAGTCTTCAACAATATATGTCCTCTTTCCACCAATTAAGTACAAAAAAATATCTGTATTGCTATTGCTAACTATATCTAAAACTCTAGGACTACCACTTAACTCATTGAAACTCCTCTTTTTAGGTGCCAATTTTGAAAAACTATCTAACAGTCTACATCTATGACAGAAATTTCATCGCCAAAAAAATTGCCGAGTAATTCTACCTGGAGGAGAGATGCCAAAGTGGTTGCTCCCCAATAAAGAGGGTTATATATCTTTCGTGGCTTCAAAGGACTTGTATAAAAAGATCTTAGGAGTAGCTTTCTGTGTTGTATTTCGAGTAGAAGGAAGTTCGCTTTTCCCATTTGAGCTTATAGGATCCGTTAATTGCAAATGCACGAAACACAACAGGCATGTCAGGCAATTTGATTTGGATCATGTGTGGCTTGAGTATATGGAATCAAAGGAGGTGTGGACAGTAGACGATTTTGGTCCAAATGACTTGAGCCATTTCCACGTTAGCATTAGAGTATCTGAATCTGATTATGGTCCACGTAACAGAGTATTTGTGAAAAAGTGTGGATTCCGACTAATATGCAAGCCACTAAAGAACGATTTGGAGGTTTTGCTTCAAGACGATCAGTTGCTAGATCCAGCTTTACTCTACGAGGTTTCGCATGAAGATAATCCAACGAGCACAGAGGAAGAAAGTTCAAGTGAAACAGAAGATTTACAAGATAGTAAAACGTGCACAGAGGAAGAAGGATTGAACATGGTTGACTTTTCAATTGAGGTATCTCTCTCTCTCTCTCGCGTGTGTATCTGCATGTGTGTTGATGCGGAGTGTACGTTGGGCGCACGTAATGCAAAAGATGAAAATTCTAGACAAACAAACAAATTTAATATAAAGTGATTCTACACATGCATATAAAGCTTAACAAAATCTCAAATTGATGCGATGACAGACCTGATGTTCGTAATTCCTGTATTGAAAAATAATGTCGAAATCCTAGAAAATCTAACGAACAATGGACACTTGGTTCTTGATGTTACGGTTGATCATAACAACCAACACCAATAATAGTACTAGATCAACTCCACGGACCAAGATAAAACTACACAACGATAATAATTCAATAATTCGACATGAGACCTTTTTCACTCTTAGGTGTTTGTTGCTATTATGATAGGGGACCGTCACACTACATGCCTTGCTAGCCGCATGCGGATTACTTGGACAGTTTGATTTAATTTTATTGATAGAGCGTCAGATTTGAGATTCTCCTTTATATAAAGTTAGAACAGACATAAAAGGTGCAAGTGGTTGGATGAGGCTGGTCTGTGGAGAGGGTATGCATTGGATTTTCCTTTTCAATTTTCCATTAGTTTGAGTGTGAGTAGAAGTTTTTTTTTTATTTTATTTTAATAATGTTAAGTTCGTTGCAAGTAAGTTGGAGTTCAATTAGGACAGTTTGTATTGAAGAATCGGCGATGTCTAAAGTGAACACATAACAATGAACATTAGACTGGGGTCTGACGAGGACGATTAATTTCTTGGATATGCTGTTCTATTTTCCATCAATTTTTCACTTCCCATATAGTACACTTGTATTGTATGAGCTACGTTTAGGGGGATTCAATCTAATATTAGGGGTGGCTAGCACTTGCAAGGGAATGATTTCCAACATAAGCAAGGATCAATATGTCTAATTATTATAAAACTCTAGCTTTAGTGGAATTACTAGGAATATGCTCAAATCAAACTCTTCTTCTTGAACTAATTACAAACTTGGATACTTCTAACAATTTACCCATATAACAGAAGCATCGCTATTCCAGCATTGATTCTGATTGCCGAAATGTTCGCCCTGGAGGAGAGATGCCAAAGGAGTTCGTCATTGTCGAAGACGGTACAATATCTTTCATGGCTTCACAAGACTTGTATAACAAGTTCCAAGGATTGTATCTCTGTGTTGTCTTCGGTGTAGAAGATGGAAAAAAGGAAGTATCTTTCGACATCGTACCACGTGTTAATGGCCAAAGGCGGAATGGGTTATCAGGAACTCTCGGTTCATTTGATACGGATCACGTGTGGTTCCAACTTCTCAGGCCAAATGCGCTGTGGGGAATGTTGGAGGGATCAGTTGACTTTGGTCAATTTGACGAGAGTTATTTACGATTTAGCCTTGATATTAGAGTAGCGGGTGGAACCGTGAAAAAGTTGGGATACGTGATACAATCCCTGCCACTAGGGGATGCTTTGAAGGTCGAGCTTGAAAAGAATCGATTAATGGATGCAGCTTCACTCTGTGAGGATGATGAGAGTCCATGGTACCGTATCAGACAGAAAGGATATCCTTCCAAGAATGTTTCGCAAGCGTAGAGGGTGAGACTCAAATATATGGGAAGAGATAGCGGGCGACTCGGCACACAAGACGCTTCAATACATTAGAAGAGGGCATCATGTCTGGCTCATGTGTCTTCAGCATGGGGCGCTGCGGGAGGTAATATAAAGGTTTTTGCGAAAAGATTCAAAGTCATTTTGTTTTTTTAAGTTTCTATTTTTTTTCTCTTTTGTGGCCCAGTGGGCGGGCGGGTAAAACCCTCCCTTAGTTTTTTGTATCTGTGTTGTTAAACAAATCATTTAATTAAAAGATCCATTCCAAAAAGGAATTGTTATTTGTATTATTAATTGAGCAAATCCAATGAGCATTTCCATCTCGAACTTTTGCAAAAAAAAATTATATAGACACCCCATGCATATATGTAGAATACACTATGCTCATACCTAACTATAGATGAACAAAATCATAACTTAATATAATGAAGATGATTCGCAGGTATCTTGTAAATTTGAATTCGAAATAATTCTCTAGTATTTATTGTCTGACCTTCTAAAAGGGGTTAAAATCTTTACGTACTAGCAAATATCACGGCGTTGCGTGTACGCAAGAAAGTGATATTTGAAAGTTTAACAGAGTAATGATATTATTTGCATGTAGTAAACATGACAGTACCATTTTGCTATACTTCTTGTCTTGTTTCATTGTTCTTTAGCTTTGGATCCTAAATTTTTTTAGCATTTAATACTAAATGCTACGAATTTTAAGAAATTTATATGATGTTCTAGTAATTAAAAATAATTTGAAATGTTTTCACATGCTTGCTTTGTCGGGGATATATGTGATCTCAAACAAACGAAAGAATTATATAATCAAATCTACTGTAAAAGTTATACGTGATGTCAATGACTGATTTGAATTATATTGTTACATAATAGTCAGGATTACTTATTTTGTTATTTAAATCATTAAATCATGGAAAGAAATAGTCGGTAAAATACACGACATGAAGAATGTGATTGAGGATGTAACGACGAGCACGATTCATTACTACTTCCGATAACAAAATTAATCAATACTTGTAGAAAGTATACAAGAAAATATAACTGTGACCACTTATAACCTATTTAGCTAGCTAAAGAAATGTATGAAGCTCATATATATAGCTAACTCTCAAGTGATATAATATACAGAACTTCATGTACTCGCTCATCTGTCAATTAATTTCACAAAACTGCCAACCTTATAATTGGCTTATATAGAGTTTATTTAGTTAAAAGGACGGTCGCTTGTGAAATATCATTGGTAAACTCTCATTTTGCCGGCAAATCGAACATGCATTTTTGTAATATGTGCAAAAATAAATAAATAAATAAATGGGCAATAAAAAATGATGGATGCATAAAAATAACCACCGTAGAAGAGGCCGCTTCCTTTCAGCTCCACCGCCATCGATCGATCGTCTACCCTCTCCGATTAGTAACAGCCACCATCAAATCTCCCTCGCCGGTCACCGCAGCCTCGGCCGTGACAGAACAGAGCATGGACGCTCATCACCACCAATCGAACTTCTCTCCTGCTCTTCCTCTCTCGTCTAACGCATCGGAGATTCCTTCTAAGCTAACGATTTCACACTCTGGCAGGAAAATTTCACGACGACCACCACGATACACTCACTGAAGCTTTGGTGCGTGCGCGAGAGCTGAGGAACCGAGCGAAGCAAGAACAAACACGTACAGACCGAGAAAACTATCTCTCTCTCTCATCTTCAGCGCTCTGGACCAAATCCAGTGTCTACGCCCGCGGTCGAAGCCAGTGGCAGCTGAATTGCTTCATCGCCTAGCTTCGTCTTCGTGAGATTCTCCAAGTCTTTCAGTGTCTTTCATATATTAGCAGGTAACCATTCGGATCTCCCCCAAGGTAGGATGCGGTCGATTCATGGAGACTCGATCATACGATTGTTCTGTATTGCCTTTTGCCGAGAGCTTCGAATTGTTCTCTCAACTGTTGTCTGTTATTTGGTCTCGGATTCGTCGATTCCTCTCTAGCAGTTTTTTAGCGGGATTTCTCATGTTTATATTCCTCGCCAATTGATAGGAATTCCTATTTGTAGAACATCTCACCCTTCATGATCACCACCTGTTCGACGTTTTGCCTCAGAGATGATAATGATGAATTTTTTTCCTCGTTGATCAATCTGAGATCGCATAGAGTGGATTTGGATGTTGTTGTTCGACATGCTGATCATATATATTGCGAATTGATGCTTCATCCTTTGATGGCAAGAGAGTTCTCTTTCCCTCGGTGCTTCGGTTTACTTTTTACTTTGGTTGTGGGACCGAATTGTCATCTAATAGTAACGATAAGTCACAATACACTGGTGGTGAAAAAATCACAGCCAAGCTATATCAAGTTCAATCTCGTTTTTATGCTCATGAAAGACCCTTCCACCAAAGTTTGAGAAAGAGAGTCTTCGACCTACTTCGAATTCAAAAGAAGCGGGAACGGTTATAAAACTTCACCAAGCTTGAACGTGACAAAGTTGTTGACGAGAAATGCTAAGGGATTGGAAGTTTAGTTAAATTGAGAAATCATGGATACATGAAAGCAGTTAAGTTAAGAAATCATGGATATATGAAAGCAGTCAAGTTAAGAAATGGACATCGACCTAGTAACAATCGAAGGGAATTTAAGACTTATAAATAGAAGAAATGCAGAGGAAGAAGATATGTTCGAATTACGCCGAAAACCTGCCGAAATTACTGCTGATTTCCCTTTGAGTATTGTTGTAACGTTTCATGTCAATGTTTCCATTCGAGCGTCATTTTGTACAACCGTGATTAATTTCAATTCCAGCAATGTTTATGTCCTAGTAATCTCGTTTTCAGTTAATTTCATTCGACTCTTTCCTTTGAGTCTAGTGTTCTTTGCTTTGATTCCTTTATTCCTTGCAGTGCACCTTTAAATAATTCACAGTACTTCCATTTTAATTTCTGAGCAATTTACTGTACTTGTCGTTTAGATCGATTTCCATCAAATCATTTTGTGCATTGCTTTCGGGAGCTGGCACGCATACACGCACATAAAAAATTGATCGCTTTAGAGCCAGGCTAGAATCAGAAAGTAAGCTTGTTATTTGTTTTCCCAACCGCTTGACAACCAGATCAACTTACATCGAGCGAATTTGCTACAACAATATCATATAGCTAAACACGCCGATGTACACAAGTGGTCGCACTATAATAGGATTCTAAAGTTAGCCACCATCGGTTCAAGAGGTGGCTCCCAACATGTAGCACTTTATCCTAACCATGGCAGCTTCTACAATGTAACACTTTGTCCCGCGTGGCATTTTGTTCGCATTGTACACAAATGTCGGTCCATATTCGATGCACATGCAAGATGTCATCCGTTCACGTATCTCATGCTCGATATCTTTCACAATGAATAATGATTCCTCAAGCAGATCTGTGGTATGCGGCTATGTACTTGCTTTCCGACCCCATATGGTATTCAATCAGAGTTATGATTCCTGAGCCGAAGGAACTTGCCGAATCTAAATACCAAATTGAGCTGGCTCTAGAAGAACTTGTTACATGTCTGCTCGCTAAATTCCAATGCGAAATCCGTAATTGATGCAAGCTTCGCCATCAAATTACTGATATGCCAAGAGAATTGTTGGGTGCAAACATTACAGAGTGAATTATGGCTCAAAAATATCAATCAAAAAGCATTATATATAGTTTCTACCTTTTCTTATGATATCATGAAGAGCAGTGTACTAGACCTAAATTTGGTGATAGCAACTTCGAATTTTCCTTGCGGGTTTTTGGTGCATAGACTTAATTCTTACTCAGCTCATAAATCCGAAAATTCTCAATATTAATATATATATTTTGGCTTGATCAACATGAAAATATGAGAGAGCAAGCTTGCTTCATGTCACGGGGTGTGTTTGATTGATACCTTCCATGACTCTGATAATGCCATATTCTTGGAAAACCGATTCAGTAGTTATTTTATGAGCGGAGTGAATAGATGATGTATGAAGATTATCCGTCCACTAGCTTTACTAAATGAGATAATCTATATGTTTCGTTTTTCACAAAATAAAAAAGAAGAAGAAGTTAGATAAGAAGGTATTTTGGTTTTATAATGCTTCATTAGTTCTCGAACTTTTCATAGCCATTGAGATCCTAAACAGCCTAATTTTATTTTAACGGTACTAGAGTTACTAAAAATTTACTATCTCGTGGTGTACAAAGTGAGGTGAAGGTTGACGCAGTGGATTGTGCGGGCATTTGATACGTCCCTTGGTAAACGCTGAGTCTCTAAAAATAATAGAAAAAAAAGCAAATCAGTATAGTTGAAGATCACGTCTTGTATCAAACCTCTTTGTCTTCCTCAAGTCTCCATCGTCTGTATTTCCTTTTCTTTTCTTTTTTTTCCGATGACTTCAAAGAAGCTCAATTGATCTCTCGTGAGTCGCGATTACTTTCACTTTTCACGCTAACTGCTGAAACACAAATAGTTAAAGAAAAAAACCAGAAACTTTAGTACCAGCCGGTGTAATGAATTAGCAATATTTCATTGAATTATTTATTATGTGCTTACCAAAAGGCAATCGAGGATCATGTGAGGCCAATGAGGCTCGAGTAGGCGTCGTCGGCATTCCTGATCAGCTTTACTTCACACCAAGATCAAGATCATGCTTGTCGTGACCCTCGTCGGCTGCATCTGCTCATTGTTCTTGGAGCTACAGTACCCTTGCTCTCCAGCAGCGGAGCTCAAGCTGAGCTTGTCAAGCTTGGTAGGCCTCACCGCCTCCTTCTCTGCAATTCCCTAATCCCTCTCTCATCTGCTTTGCCCATTAACATAACACTTCATTTCCTTAATTAATCCTATGTTATTTTCCTATTTTCCGAAGTGGGTATCCTTGCAACCGAAAGGTGGCATGACAAATCGTAATTTCATTCCCTACATTAGTCATAGATTTGGGTGAGACGAGAATTCAATTGTTCGACGTGCCTCGTAAGATTTCACTTTTTGGCCACTGAAAAAAATGAAAAAAATAATCGATCAACTCTTGAAGCAAAAGTGCGTGAGGGTTAATAATTGATCTATCTTTCAAGTAGCCATGAATTGTTATTTATTATATAATTTGCAAAAAAAAAGAAAGCAAAGAAAGAAAAATATCTCATTGGTTGCGAATGACATTTCCTGGAAGCCACAACGAAGTATTCTATTGGGCGCCAATGGAGTAGCCAACCTTTTTTAATGAGATGAAATACTTTATTTTCCATATAAGCAAAAGAAAAAGGGCGAACTAAAGATGTTTTCTTTTTATTAGAATTCAATGTCCACGCCTTTCCTTTGAGGGTGCCCGGATAGGGAGAGATGAGAGCAGAAGAAGACTTCGTATCTGTGGAAACACGTGTGAACAAATAAAAGTCTTCTCTTTTCATTAGAATGCAATGTCGATGTCGAGAGACAAAGTGGGTGGGGGTTTAGATAAAAGACGAATGGACGACATTATGTTTGATTGAGTCGGTTTGGCTTTTAGCTTCTCCGAGGAACACGGCATCATTATTGAACGTTTGGACTAGATTATCAAAACGATGTCTAACCTCATTCCGATTTTTCAACACTTTGAAAAGGCTTTCTTGCCCCAAAGCCAATCAAATCAATTCATTAGAAATCTGTGCTCCAATCAAGACCGTATGAAATTATGGTTACATAAATTTATTTTATGGGGAAAATTACCAAAACAGTCTTAAACCTATTGTAATTATGCCAATTCAGTCCTAAACATTTTTTTGTGTACAATTCAATCCTAAACCTTTTGTATTTGTGACAATTCAGTCCATCCAGCCAATTTTGGCTGGCCAGTGCTAACGTGGACGCCAGCTGATGTCGGTTGTTCGGCCGACACTAATGTGGCAATTTTTAAATATATTTTTATTTTTTTCCGAATTATTTTTATTTTTTCATTTTTTTTCTCTTCTTTTTTTTTTCCTATCTTGTTCCCTGGCCGATCCGGCGACCGGCTCCACCACGTCCACACAAACACCACCCCCAATCAATATTCAATTCCACTTTTCACGCTAACTTCTGGAACACATATAATTAAAAAAAAAAACCAAACTTGAAAATCCCATCTCTCTTCAATCAGCACCATGCCAAAAGATGCTCGACACTAAGGGCTAGAAGAGAACAGACAAGTGGCTCTTGATTAAGGAAAGATTGTTGCGTTCGATACAGAAAATCTTTGACCATCAAACCTACAATATTGGTGCACATGGTGCCCCCACAGAAAAACAAAGGACTGAAGAGATTAAGGAGATGGAAGCCATTTTCCAGAAGCCACTAAATCAATGAATTAATCAGAAGACTGACCTCAAATCAGGATCGTGTGATATTATGATAGTAAAAATTTTATCTGATGTTGACCGGCGGCATCTGCTTGTCTTCCACGGCGCAGAAGCCCTAGCCGAGCTTGTTGAGCCTGGCGGGCCCCATCGCCTCCTTCTCCCCAATTCCCTCATCCCTCCCATTCGCTTTGCCCGCAAAGCTGAAAGTTAATATAATTTTCTTTGTTGACCCGCGAAAAAGAAAGCCATGCCTCTGACTATAAAGAAGATACCGAGAAGCTCCAACGTTGAACAAAATCTCATTGGTTGACGGTGGGGGCTATTGGAAAGAAGTAAAGACAAGAAGGCTGAGAGGGCAGCGAGGGTCACGCTAATTTTTTGGCAGCGTCCCCTTGTGCCATTTGACTGTCCCCTTCTCTTTGTCCATCCAATTCCATCCCTCTCTATTATTATTATTATTAATATGCCCTCAGAATTTATTCGCTCTTTCTAGTTTCTACCCATGAGTCTATGCCGATTTTTGGGTTTTATTATGTGTTTACATACTGTTTGCCAAGGCCTATCGACTTGTAATTTCCCTAATCATGTTGCTGTGCTTTTTTAACTTTTTTGTTTATAATATAGCCTCATCACATTCGCATGCATTGAATGGTCATGGCACGGTAGGCTTCTTGTCGTTTTGCTATGGCATCGCACATTGGACGCCATATGGAATCGAAACAACTTATGATGACACTGTGTTTGATTGACTCAACTCTACGAGGTTTTGGATGGAAGTCAAAGGAGCACAGAGGGAGATAGTTCAAACATGTTCATCCACAAAGGGCTCAACATGGCTGACTTCTCAATTGAGGTCTCTCTCTCTCTCTCTCTCTCTCTCTCTCTCTCTCTCTCTCTCTCAAGCAAGGATCAAT